AAAAAAAAAAACCCCCCCCCTGCCAATGCAGGGGACACGGGTTCGAGCCCTGGTCGGGGAAGATCCCACATGCTGCGGATCAACTAAGCCTGTACACCACAACTACTTAGCCTGCGCCCTAGAGCCCACGAGCCACAACTACTGAGCCCGTGTGCCACACTGCTGAAGACCGCATGCCTTCAGCCCATGCTCCACAACAACAGAAGCCACCACAAATGAGAAGTTCATGCACTGCAACGACACTTGCTGCAACTAGAGAAAAGCCCACGGGCAGGAACGAAGACCCAACGCAGCCAAATAAATAAATAAATAAATTTATTTTTAAAAATCTCGTTTTCTTTGGTAGCACAGTGGTTAACAATCTGCCTGCCAATGCAGGGGACACGGGTTTGAGCCCGGGTCCAGGAAGATCTCACATGCCGCAGAGAAACTAAGCTGGTGTGCCACAACTACTGAGCCTGCACTCTAGAGACCGTGAGCCACAACTACTGAGGCTGTGTCACAACTACTGAAGCCTGTGAGCCTAGAGCCCATGCTGTGCAACAAGAGAAGCCACCACAATGAGAAGCCCATGCACCACAAAGAAGAGTAGCCCCCCCACTCACCACAGCTGGAGAAAACCCACGCACAGCAACGGAGACCCAACACAGCCATAAATAAATAAATAAATAAATAAATAAATAAATTTATTTTAAAAAAATCCCATGATATTTCCCCAGAGCTATTTCTGACATTATCTTTGAATAAATGCCTCAATACTATTTCTAATTTCCTGATATTTGCATTTCAAATTGTTTTTCTGAGATAATCTCAATTCCCCTTGCAAAGCTGTACCAGCAATCACTGGAGAATGATAATCACTTACCAGCAACAACATGAGATCATGGGGTTCAGATGTTCCCTTAGCAGATGAAACCAAGGACAGTTATCAATTAGTTCCCTGAAACTTTAACTTGCTTTATAAATAATATCTTGTAACCTGCCTTCACTGACTCTTGCTTTAATTGTTTTTGCAAATTACATACCCTCCAAGCTTCACCTAGCTTAGACAATATATCACAAAACCTTACAGATAACATCTCTGAGGTATGGGTGGCTATGGTAACAGTTCCTTAAATTGTTGTTCAGAAACATGCAGTTAGTCTTGTCCAGTTCAAACTGGTCAAGACCACCAACCATTCAACTGGGCCTGTGTGAGTGTCCACCCTTAGATTATGCTAATGCCACCATTTTCTGAATATGTTTCCCATGAAGAAGCATGTAGCTCAGATATGCCTGTGCAGAACACAGATTTCTTCACTTTTTTCTTGCCTACATTCCCTAGGCCTGAGACCACCCTCCTCCTCTAGGCCATAAATATCCCAACACCCTCCTGTTAGGGGGGTGGATCTGAGACTAGTTCTCCTGACTCCTCCCTTTGATGCCACACGAATAAACACTTTTTCTGCTGCAAACCTCAACGTCTCAGTCTTTTACTTTCTGAATGTGGGGCAAACAAACCTCGTTTGGTAACACAGACACGCTGTGACTCTGAAAGTTGCAGTCGCTGACCCCAGCCAAAACAGCATTAGTTACATTGGTCTCCATCTGAGATAGATGTCAGTTTACTAAATGGAGTTGAGCATATCTCAGGATATACAGTAAGAAATATTATATGGATAAAATTGTTCCTCAATGGGACTTCCCTGATGGCGCAGTGGTTAAGACTCCATGCTCCCAATGCAGGGAACCTGGGTTCAATCCCTGGTCAGGGAACTAGATCTCACATGCTTGCTGCAACTAAGAGTTCTCATGTCACAACTAAGGAACCCACACACTGAAACTAAAGAGCTGGTGAGCCACAACTAAGAAGACTGCTTGCTGCAACTAAGACCCGGTGCAACCAAATAAATAAATTAAAAAAAAAGTGTTCCTCAATGGGTAGGACATAATTGCTAACTATATAGGCAAGGCAGAGTTTTCTGTGGGAACCAGAGGCAGAGATCATGTTTGTTTCAGGGTGGCCAAACACCCATCTTCTTTCTTCTCAGTCATGTCCCTGTACAGTCTTTTCCTTTGTTCCCAGCCAATCATAATAGAATTTACAAAACTTACTAATACCTCGGGCTACACGTATTTCAAGAGGAATAGCACAATGCCTCCAACTATAGGTGGACTATTTTATGTCTGAATTACTCTGTGGAATGATACAGCCATTTAGATAAGTAGATTTGGGAGCATCTCAATTTTATTCCCTGGTAGCAGGCTGACCTTCACGGAGTATGAAACTACGTCTTTCTCCTGCAGTTCACAGCGAGTAAAGCCATCTAGGTAGGATGACCACTCGCAAGTAGTCCCCAGAGTACCGCTTGGACCACTCTCTGGTGGTCCAAATGGAGAACACCTTTCCGGGGCGGGGGTGGGGGTGGGGAGGAGCTCTAGAACGCTAGGAACTACACTACCCAGAAGGTAGTGCGCCGAGTTGAGCCAATAAAAGGTCAGGATAAAGGCATTTCCGTGCGTGCGCATCTCATAGGGGCGGGACTTCCGGCGTCCTCTTCGTGGACGCCATTTTTACTGCTTTCGTATCTGTTGTCGCTCCGGAGCATTGGGCCGGGACTTGGGTGACAGGGTTGAGAAGGTCCAAGAGGAGCCGCAATCTCCGCTGCATAGAGGCCGGTCTGAAGTTCGGCGACGCCGCCGGGGGTGCCCCGCGCCAGGCCCGGGAGAGGGACCGCCGTGCCCGCGTCCACCCGCCTCTCCCGCTGCTACCGGCCCCGCTCTGCCCCCAGACTCTGATGGCGGCGGCGGCGCTGAGGACCCCGCCTCAGGTAAACGCTCATCCTCCGGGCCCTCACCGCCCTCACCCCACCAGACACTAAAGCCCCGAGTGCGGGGCGCCTGCTCACGTGCCCGCAGCCCAGGACGCGGTGTCCGGGATGGTGGGGCGTTCGTGGGTGGGTCTGTTTTTGATAGTGTGATGGCCACGTGAGAGAGGGTGACAGGCGGAGGTACTGGCAGGTGCAAAGGCTTGGAGGTCGGATTGAGCCGGGAGTATTGGGAAACCTGGGGTCCGTCTGATGTCTGCAGGGATGTGTGTGGTAACGTGACCCCTGTACTGGCTGGCGGAGAGGTTGTTTCTTCATTCTGAGGGACCTGGATGCCATGGAGGTTAGTGGACAGAAGAGGAATACAGTCTGTATTAGGGTTTCAAAAGTTTTCCAAAAACCGATTAAAGAGAGAACAAACTAGAATGGGGCTGAAAAGGACAGTGAGGCACAAGGCGCTAGTAAGAAGCAGCATTGAGGACTGAGGCGCAGAAGCTAGTCACTTAGCCCGAGGTCACTGAGATCCAGGACTGGACGGGGATAGAGGGGAGGCCTGACCTCATCTGGAGCCCAGTCCTGGTTGCCTACCCCTCTCCGCAGGTTCTGAAGGATGAAAAGCACTTAGGAAACCTATACACGGAAGAGGAGGTTGTACCAGTCATTCACTGTCCCTGACACCACCCAAATGGTGTCTGGGATTGTGGTGTCTTTAACGTCTTCCTTGCTTTTTTCCAAGCTCGTGGGTGTGGGGACCCTGGGGATACCTCAGGCCCAGTCCTGAGTGCAGGCCAAGGGTTACAAGGGTATTGCTATTGTTGCCAGCCAATATAAACACGTGTGAAAGGTTGTGACAGGACCAGATACTGACATGTGCAAATGTTTGGAGGTATGACTATGCTGGAGACAGGGTACATTCAGTTTCCATTTTATTAGGAACAAAGAGCTGAGTGTCAAGAATCAGGTCTGTAATTGTCAAGAATTTGGACATCCGTTATGGAGATAATGAGAGGTTTGGATAAGCAGAAGGGGTTGATTCTTATGCAGGTCTTAGTGAGTTCCATTGCCTGCAAAGAAGAGAACAGACTGTATGAGTAATATAAGAGGCAGGGAGGTGCCAAGGAGGCATTTACTATAATCCAGATGAGTGTTGGACCAGGGTGGTGGCCACAGAGGTGGGAAAGAAGTTGGACTTTCCATACTTGTTTTAAGGAGAGTCAAGTAGATTTTTAGATGTTGCGGGTGAGGGAGAGAAAGGGAAGAGTCAGGGATGACCCCAATGTTTCCGGTTTAGGAGCTAATGGGATGAAAGCTCCATCAAATGAGATGGGAAAGTTATGGTAGGTTAATTTTACTTGGGAATATCAGATGTTTTGTTTTGGCCTTGTCAAGAGTCTGAGATGTTTCAGAGAAAGCGAGTGGAGGCAGCAGTTGGGTGTCTGGAAATCTGGGGAGGAAGGTGGCTGTTGTGTGGAACAGGGAGGAACTGTGGATCCCATTTAGGTTGGGGGAATACAGGTCATCCTGGCAATGCTGTTCGCTGGTCTGAAAGAGGAGGGTGCATGATGAGTGGTTTCCCTGCTCCACACCTGATCAGGGTTGCTGAGCACACAAAGGAAGGTGAAGGATAGAAGTGAACATGGTAACCATATGGAAGAGAATGGGTAACTGAGTTGAAGAGAATGGTTTGACAGGCGACTAAAGCTTTTGTGAGGTTAGTGAACATGAGATGGCTGTGGAGGCGTTGGAGTAATTGAAACAAGATGATGAGGCTAGGATTCCTGCTCATTCACTAATGTACAGGTTCACCAGAATTTTGTGGTGAGGTTTGGTGTGGTGTGGTGTGTTTGATCTTGATGGTGGGTAGGTCTGGGGCAAATATGGTCATTTGTGAGAGTCACTGTGCCTGGAACGGACACTATCAGGGCCAGGATTCCAAGGAAGGTTGAGGGAGAGAGGACAGTGGTGACCGCTGAGGGGACAGGGAGTGCAGCACAATAGTGGAAGTGCGTCATGGGCATCTGTAATCACATGTGCTTCTGGGTGGTTAAAATTGAAGCAAGGATCAATAAAAGTATGAAGGAAGCCTTCAAAGCAGTTTTCCCCATATGTGCATAGTTGTGGGAGTGCAACTGTGGGGACTGAAGATGTGAGAGAGGTACAGTCTACAGAATGATGGGTACACTAAGAGGAAGTGCTAGCTCATGGCACCAGGGCCCTGTTATTGGGGACTGAAGGTTGAAGCTTGAACCCAAGTTTGGTTGTGTCTGTGAGTCACAGCCTAGAGACCCCAGGGGAATTGATTGACAGGATGGATGGGACCCTACAGGCCAGGACCAGAGCTTGGATGACATCTCTGTGCTGTCCTGTCCAGTGTTGTTGAGGGCTGAACACAGTGAATGAAGAGACCCTGAGGGATAGGTGGGCATCAGTGGCACTTAGGCCTGAAAGTCCTGTTCGGTGGAGAGCTCTGGAAGAGGATGAAGGTGGGATAGGTGTGTGATGAGATGGATTTTGGGATCTTAGAGAGAGAATGTTCATAGCTCATTCTGTCTCTCTCATAGAAGTGCAGTGTGACCTTTGAGGACATTGCTGTGTACTTCTCCTGGGAGGAATGGAGGCTCCTTGATGAGACTCAGAGACGCCTGTACCTGGATGTGATGCTGGAGAACTTTGCACTTATATCCTCACTGGGTAAGACTCAAAGCCTTCCCAGTGTCCTAGACTAGGCTCTATCCCACCTCACCCCCCCTTTTCCCAGGGGGTGCTCTGTTCTTCTACATGTGAACTGTGGGCACTGCTTGCTTCCCAAGCTTTCTGTGTAGTTGCTGTGGTAGCTAGGACTGGGTTGTTTGCACTGCCCTCTACCTTCTCTGCAATATCAACCCCGATACCTGCTGTATTGAACGCTGTTAGGAAAAGGATTCCAAGCCAGTAGTATTGCAGTGAGCTTAATGGATTCTACCTTACTTCCTTTTCTCTGTCTGGGTCAGTGTGTCTAGATCCTTTTCACCTTTGTGTCCGAGATTTGATCCCTTTTTTTATTTACTTATTTTTATTTTTATTTAATTTAATTATATATATTTTTTTCTTCTCTTGGCTGAGCTGCATGGCTTGAGGGATCTTAGTTCCCTGACCAGAGATTGAACCAGGGCCACAGCAGTGAAAGCACCAAGTCCTGACCACTGGACCGCCAGGGAACTCCCTTGATCCCTTCATTTACCTAACATTTCTTTGTGCCTGCCTGTGCCAGGCATGCAGGCATTGTCATGGTCATTACTTACCTGAACCATGAGCTACTTTTCAGTGTCCTACTGCAAGGTTTGTAGTGTTTATTTATTTATTTTTTTAATATATGTTTATCCAAAGTTTTTTTTTTTTAATTATTTATTTTGGCTGCACTAGGTCTTCAATGCGGCATATGGGATCTTTAGTTGCAGCATGCAGACTCTTAGTTGTGGCATGCAGACTTCTTAGTTGCAGCAGGCGTACTCTTAGTTGTTGCCTGCCTGTGGAATCTAGTTCCCCGAGGGATTGAACCTGGGCCCCTTGCATTGGGAGCACAGAGTCTTACCCACTGGACCACCAGGGAAGTCCCTGTAGTGTTGGTTTTTTGTTTTGTTTAATAAATATATTTATTTATTTATTTTTTAGTTGCATTGGGTCGTTGTTGCTGTGCACATTCTTTCTCTAGTTGCGGCGAGTGGGGGCTAATGTTCGTTGTGGTGTGCGGGCTTATCATTGAGGTGGCTTATCTTGTTGCAGAGCACAGGCTCTAGGCATGCAGTCTTCAGTAGCTGTGGCACGTGGGCTCAGTAGTTGTGGCTTGTGGGCTCCAGAGTGCAGGCTCAGTAGTTGTGGCTCACGGGCTTAGTTGCTCCACGGCATGTGGGATCTTTCCGGACCGGGGCATGAACCTGTGTTCCCTGCATTGGCAGGCGGACTCTCAACCACTGCACCACCAGGGAAGCCCCTCATTTTGGTTTTGATTTGCATTTTCCTGATGATCAGTGAGATGATTAGTGAAGGGGAACTTTTTTTTTTTTGCGGTACGCGGGCCTCTCACTGTTGTGGCCTCTCCCGTTGCGGAGCACAGGCTCCGGACCCGTAGGCTCAGCAGCCGTGGCTCACGGGCCCAGCCACTCCACGGCATGTGGGATCCCCCCGGACTGGGGCACGAACCCGCGTCCCCCACATCGGCAGGCGGACCCTCAACCACTGCGCCACCAGGGAAGCCCAGGAGGAACATTTTTTCATATACCTGTTAGCCATTTGTAGATCTTTGATAAAATGTCTGTTCAGCCATTTTATCTTTGATAAAATGTCCACTTTTTAATCAGATTGTTCTTTTCCTGTTCAGTTGTAGAGTACCTTATATATCAGTGTTTTACATATTAAAATATAAATTTCACCAATGAAATCTATTTGGTCATGACCTATTTTTGTTGTTGGAAGATTTTTGCTTACTGGTTCAATTTCCTTGTTATTGGTCTATTCAAATTTTCTGTTTCTTTATGATTCAGGTTTGGTAGGTTGTATGTTTCTAGTCTGTTTCTTTTAGGTTATCTAATTTGTTGGTGTTTAACAGTTCATAGTAGTCTTTTATGATCCTTTGTTTCTCTTTTATTTCTCTGTTAACTTATTTGAGTCTTCCCTCTCAGAAGTCTAGAGAAAGGTTTGTCAGTTTTATTTATCTTTAAACAAAACCAGTTCTTAGTATTGTTAATCTTTTTTTTATTGTTTTTATAGTTTCTATTTCATTTATTTCTGCTCTGATCTTTCTTTTTTTTCTTTTTCTTTTTTGGCTGTGCCATGTGGCAGGCAGGGATCTTAGTTCCCCAACTAGTGAACGAACCTGCACCCCCTGCTGTGGAAGCACAGAATCCTAACCACTGGACTGCCAGGGAATTCCCCTCTGCTCTGATCTTTATTTTTTCTTTTGTTCTGCTAACTTTGGTCTTAATTTGTTCTTTTTCTAGTTCCTGGAGATGTAAAGTTTGGTTGTTTATTTAATGCTGTCATTTTTTGCTCTTAATGCTGGCATTTATTGCTCTAAACTTGATTTTTTTCTTAATGCTGGCATTTATTGCTCTAAACTTTTCTCTTAAAACTGCTTTTGCACATTGTATATGTTTTGTTTCTATTTTTGTTTTTCTCAAGGTACGTTTGATTTTCCTGTTGATTTTTTCCTTTGACTGATTGATTGGCCAGGAGCATATTGTTTAATGTTCACATATCTGAATTTTTAAGCTTTCTTCTTGTTGCTGGTTTCTAGTGTTATCCATTGTGTTAGGAAAAGTTACTTGATATGGTTTGAGTCTTCTGAAATTTGTTAAGACTTGTTTGACATAGCATATAATCTATCCTAGAGAATATTCTATATGCCCTTGAGAAGAGTGTATATTCTGCTGTAATAGGATGGAATGTTCTGTATACATCTGTTAAATTCATTTGGACTAAAGTGTTGTCCAATTCAAAAATACCCTTTCTATCTGGATATCCACCTGTGTTGAAAGGGGGATATTTAAGTTCCCTATTAACACATTATTGACCGGGGGAGTTTTTCAGAAACTAATGCCTGTGGCCGGCAATTTGTTAGAGTAAATATCAACAACTATTTTTGCACTTAATGTGTTTATTTGAAACTTTGTACATGTCTTACTAAAGCTTTCTAATACTTTGTTAGAGGGTGATAGGCAGTATAGCAGGAATCTCTGTGCAGGGGAACAGAACATCTATTACAAATACACTGTTTCACTGTGCTTTCCCCTGGAAGAGCAGACTCTATACTTTCTGGAGGCTTTTTTTTTTTAAGCCCTGTGGGTATTATTTTCTCTAGAATATGTTCTTTTATTTTACCTGGTAGTCAACAAGGTGGATCTTTGCGGGGAGGCTCTTTTATTTTTTAATTTTTAAAATATTTATTTATTATATTATTTATTTTGTCTGTGCCGGGTCTTAGTTGCTGCATGCGGGATCTTTTAGTTGTGGCACACGGGCTTCTTATTGCAGTACGGTGGACTTGTGACATGCAGACTCTTAGTTGTGGCATGAATGTGGGATCTAGTTCCCCAACCAGGGATCGAACCTGGGCCCCCTGCATTGGGAGTGTGGAGTCTAACCCACTGGACCACCAGGGAAGTCTCTTGGGGGGCTCTTTTAGAAACACCACGAGAAGGATCAGGTGTGGGACTACCACTGCATTCACCGGAATGATCAGTTACCCATTCTCTAGCTACTGCTGACAAAAATTGCTTATGGGACTTCCCTGGTGGTGCGATGGTTAAGAATCTGCCTGCAAGGGCTTCCCTGGTGGCGCAGTGGTTGAGAGTCCGCCTGCCGATGCAGGGGATACGAGTTCATGCCCCGGTCCTGGAAGATCCCACATGCCGCGGAGCGGCTGGGCCCGTGAGCCATGGCCGCTGAGCCTGCGTGTCTGGAGCCTGTGCTCCGCAACAGGAGAGGCCACAATAGTGAGAGGCTCGCGTACCACAAAAAAAAAAAAGAATCTGCCTGTAAATGCAGGGGACATGCGTTCAATCCCTTGTCCAGGAAGATCCCACATGCAGTGGAGCAACTAAGCCCGTGAGCCACAACTACTGAGCCCGCATGCCTAGAGCCCGTGCTCCAAAGAGAAACCACCTCAGTGAGAAGGCCACACACCACAACAAAGAGTAGCCCCTGCTTGCCACAACTAGAGAAAGCCTGCGTGTAGCAAAGAAGACCCAATGCAGCCAAAAATAAATAAATAGATGAATAAATTTATTTAAAAAATTGCTTGTAAGTCATTTTATTCTGTGCATTAAGGCTGCAATAAATTTTAAATACATTGAATAAACCGCAGTTACTCAACTAGAAACCCACTTTCTTATATCATTTTCGAGTTTTCCAGAGGATATTGAAGTTTGCCAGATATTTATCAACTCCTTTCATATATTTATTATACTCTAACATACTAGTGGGCTTAGTTATCTGATGGCCAGTCTTTCTGTCTTCCTTTACTGTAGATGCTATGGAGGTGTAATGAATAGTTGTCACCATGCAGACTAGCCTCTTGTCTTTCCATATAAGAAGAATCACTTCTCCCTTCTGTAAGAATGTCATTTCTACCCTCTGTAGATTTTCAGATTTCTCCTTTAATTGGTTTGGTAGACCATGATTCTCTCTTATAGTCCTACAAACTCTGGTTTTATTTTTCAACAACATTACAGATGTGGACAGACTATTGTAATTAATTGTCTTGGTAAATATGGTGCCATGAACCAAGGTTGTAGGACCAACAATATTGTTTCTTGCAGTTTCTTTCCTTCACCCATGTAAATCTCACGGTTGCATGTATATCCAGTTTCACTTCCGTTAAGCATCCTGACCAAAATTCCATATTTTGTAAATTTTCCAGGATTATAGGTTTTGAATCTGAGTTGTCCTCCACTTTATCATTGCCTCATCAAGTGATAGCTCTTGTTTGGGTGTATAGATCGATTGAGATTTTGGTAGAAAATAAGCCAAAAGAGGTTTAATTTTTGAAATTCTGTCTGTAGGAAGTGGAGTTTCCGAGTTATCGTTAAAGTGAAGAAATGTCATTATTTGTTTCAACCTTCTTCTCGTCCTAATCTTCGATAAGATAGGTGTTTCAAGTAAGGGATCAGTCGACCAATATTCTTTCCACTGTGACTTTCTTATTTGTCTCATCA